CCTACACGTTCCGGGTGAAATGCGCCTGAGCCCAGCAAAGAAGAAAAAAATCATAAAACCTCCAAATACAATATTCCCTGAGCAAATGAGCTTTGGAAGGCCAAGTCACCCAATAGATTAGGTTGGGGGTCGGGGGGCTCCTACATTTTAAAGGGCTCCTACCTGAATGTACCACTCACGGCAGGCCTGACATGCAGAGAGCAGGTTCTGCCTACACAATTTGAACATATGTATCCTCTCTTCATCTCCCCCAGCAATGCCTTGATACTGAAAAATCCCTAAATCAAGCACATCTAGACCAGGAGCATCTTTTCTTATTAGTTGGTACAAATTATTGCTGTGGATAAATCATATGCATTGGCACATATATAAACACACATCTTCATGCATCATCTAAGACTGTTTCCAGAAAGAAGTGCTATGTGAACAAACAACAGTAATGTTATTTTTGATGCACGCCCCTTTCTAATCACACGAGCTTTCTATTTCTCTTTTCTGAAAAGGAACAAAACCTTCATCAATAATATGCCTGGCGTCTCTGACAATATTTAAAAACATAATGGGTGCCTTTGGCATATGCTCTCCAGAAGCGGCTGTCTTCCAGGGGCAGCAAAGAACAGATCAGTAATTTTAGTTACTAATGCACTCAGTCTTAAGTAGATTTGTAAACTGCCTTGGATTTGCCATTAACATTTAGAGCAAAATGTTAACAAAATTTCTGACTTATTTTGCTCTGCACTGGCCCAGTCAGAGTTGATGTCCAATAAAAAGCCCCTGGAACAAACTGAAGTTCAGAGAGACTTCTTTCAGTTTCCCTTGTAAATGTAGGTTGTACATTTTCATAGTCACCGATTCTATGTCAGACTTTATTTTGAGTGGGCGGTGGGAGAAGAGCTATATATCAAAAGCCAGGATAACATAAGGTGACCAGTAGGACTTACTGGCTTCAAAAATACACACTAAGTAGAAACTTAATGAAAAAAAAAAAAAAAAAAACCAAACCACCATCTGCTCCAAATTGTAACCTTTAGCTTGAGAGTCATAGCAGAAATCATTTGCCCCCTCCCTTTAAAAGAGCCCACAAAATGATGGAGTGTCTTTGGTATTCCCTCAGATGGAGAAACCTCAGTTCAACTGGAGATGAATCCTCCCAGTTTAATGCAGTGCAAAGAGAGTATTTCCTTCTCCCATCCTGTAGCAGACATGTCAATGACTGTTATTAATTGGGAAGATGAGTGGACACCATCAGCCTGCTTCCTCATTTGGCATCTTTCCTTATAGACATCATTGCTAAATTACCAGATTATGTATCTCACATTAACGGATTTTTCTCTCTTCCAAATTTTAAATAACTTTCCTGTCAAGTTAGAGCAGTGCAGGGAATGATCTGCCAGGGACAGCCAGTGAGCTGACAAGTCTGGAATCCTGTTCTTGGCTGTTTTCAAGTCAGATTAATGGTTACACAACATGGATGCTCTGATAGTGGGTCTAGGGCTGTTCCAAGGGTTCTAAGCAGCTCTTCCCTACAGAAATAAATAACTACCTGTCTATCAACAAACAGTATTACACAAGGCAAGCTAGAGAAAAGGACAAACGTAATATGCTGGGGGCACAGGGAGACTGTGCCTCCCCCTCAAGACACTCCCTTCTCCAGGATTCACTTTCTAATTTTACTTCCTAGATCACCTCATTATGTTAAATGAGTTTCATAAATTAGTAATCTGGCGACAGCACCGGACACTCCAACAGAACACAGTGAATCACTCAAACCTGGTTATTCATTTGAAAACTTCATTACACCGAAAATAAATCAACAACATTTTTCCAGGCCACATCTCTTTTCACTCCACTGTGTGGGCGTTGGTCACTGTCGTTAGTCTCCGATGGAGGAGGGGTGCTTTTTTTCTTTCCCCTTTTCTTTCTTACCCCCCTCCTCACATTAACAACTTGTGTAGATGAGGCTTCAGCAGACCACAGTCATTATGAAAATCTATAGTTAATACACTCCCAATGTCAAAATGTCATGGGTTTAAACACAGAACCCAAAATAAGAAAACTAACTGACCCTCTTAATTAAAAAAATATGGATTGTAAGATAATCAGCTTGATGGAGCATTTGGGTGACTGTAAAGAACCGGGCAAAGGGAAAGTAAGTAACTGTTACTTTTCTGCCTCTATGCTGATTTTTTTTAATTTAGCACTTCGTGCAAATCCAGATTAAAATAACTCCAGCTATTGATCCGAGCAGTGGAATTGACATTAATTTTAGTTCACTTCTCACTTTGCAAAGGGATCAATAGGAAGTAATAACAGCTGACATCCCCGCTGAAAGGAGGAGAAAGAAGGGCTGAAGACAGAAATCGAAAAGCAACCAAATAAATCATCAGCTACTTTTCCACGGCATCAGACAAACTCCAAACAGATTGCAAAAAGTCTTTGTTGAATTAACTAAACAAGGAGGAGGGATCAATCCACGAAGCTAAATAAATTGTCTGGCAGGTAGTGAGGGTGGACGGAGGGACCAACAAATATTGAGTTTTAAAAATTTCAAATCCTTGACGTGATGGGTTTGGTGCAGCTCTGTATGTGTGGGAGTTTGTTTGTTTCTTAAATCACACACCGGACTCTGGTTTAAAGTGATTACAAAACGCCAGCTAACTGAATAATTAGTGAGATTACTAATTGCGTGGTTAAACATGCCAGAACCAAGACAAATGAAACGAAGCCGGCGTTTGGAACGTGAAAATGTCTGAGGCTGGGTTGATGCGCAGCGCTCTGCGCTCTCCTGCGCGAACCAACCACTTTCGCACAGAAAAACCGAAACCTAGAGAGAAAGTCTCAGGGAGTGAACAGTTTCCCCACCCCAGCCTCTGCCCATCCCTGTCCAGGGTCTGGTCTTCCTGACCCGCGCCGGGATCCGCCGCGTAGGAGGAAGCGGTGTTGCTGCTGCTGCAGTTGCCGAGAGCCAAACCCACTTGCAAATGACTGCCACAAAGAAAGCTGCAAAGGGCTCTTTCCTTGCGCCGAGCTCAGGGCGCCCACCAAACTGCGACTCTGCTGGCAATTAAAGTGCACACACAACACTCCCTGCTTATTACAACAGGTGACATTTTTGTGGTCTCTGAACCGTTTCCAAAAGCCAGGAATTAAAATAATAGAACAAATTAAACGATATTTTTCCTTTGCATAAATAAACTTTTAAAAAATTAACAGGCAACTTAAAAAGCAAAGAACAATGGGCAATGAAGTCAGAGTAGTGGGGGGTGATGAGGAACGCGGAAAGAATTTTTTTTTTAAGTTCACAGACTTCGCTTGAAGAGAATTCCCGCACACCAAACGCCTGGGGGGGTATTTGGAAACACCACTCTAACAGAATTTTACCGCCATATGCGAGAGCTCAGGGAGCGGAGCGTAAGGTAACACGGTTCCAGGGCGAGAGAGTCGACGCCTGCGGTTTAGACAAGGCTGGATATCGGTCTCAGATTTGGACCCGGATCCAGGCTCAGCTTGGCCAATTGGTGCGAATCCGTGACAGTCCGGCGGGTCTGAGAGTGCGGGGCCACAGGGATGCCGGCTTAGCCAACGGGTGCAGAATTTGCCGAGGAGAGCCTCGACCAGGAAAAGCCAACTTTTCCTATACCTTATTTTCCAAGGGAAAACGGAGGAAGAAGAGGCGAGGGCGAAACCTGCATGCACTTGGGGCCAACACAGAGCCGAGCTCACCACTGCAAGGCCTGACCTCTCCCTCGGGCTCTCGGTTGCCTTCGTACAAAGAATACTTTAGGTCCCAACAATCTCCTCACGAAACAATCTGCTTGGAACTTTGAGGAACCAGGGCGCGGATCTGAGAAGAACCAAGTGTGAGGGACCCTGGTTTGCATCCGCGCAGGGCCCACGGGGCAGGGGCTCCGGGCGGCCTGCCTTAGACCAAAGTCCCAAGACTTCAAGCCCCTGAGCAGCCCCGCCCCGCACGGGTCACCCGGGTGCGGTCGCTGCGCTCCACCGCTCCAGAGGGCAGCCACTGGCTCCGCCACTCCAGCTCTCCCGCACCTCCACTCCAGCAATCGCGCAAGTGCGGGCGGGCGCGGGGCTGCCCGGCCCTCCCTGTTCCCGGGGTGCCGGAAGGGAGTTTCTGCCGCCGGCGGCTGCACACAGCGCGGCTCTCAGAACAGGTGTGTGTCCCTGCTCGCTTCCGCGCCTCGCCCGGACTCCGTCGGTCACCAGCCGCGCGGCGCCACCCGGTCCGCGGCTTTTCCCCCTCGCCCCGGAGCGCAACGAGCGAACTCACGCCACTTTTGCCGGGTCTCTGCGGGCCAAGGAGGGATCGCAACGAAAGGCGCCCGCAGTGTTTTTTCCTCGACGGCTTGGGGTGTACGGATCGAAAGGCCCCGGGAGATCAAGTTCAGCCCAGGTCAAGCTCTGAACCGCCGCTGGTCTCTCTCGCAGGCCCCCGGCCCGCTCTGCTTCCCCCAATCCTACTCGCCGCTTCCTCACTGCCCGCCCTTTTTTTCTCTTTATTTTCCCTTTCTCTCCCTTTTGCTCCTCAAGCCGACTCCAAAGCGGAGGCGAGAGGCAAGACGGAGCTGCTGGCATCGTGGGCACTGAGCACCCGTGTTTCCCCTCTCATCTGCTCTGGGGCAGGGAGGCGGCGCAGGCGGGAGACCCGGGACAACCCGGGCGGGCCAGGCAGAGCTGCGCCCCACACTGATGGCTCTGGCCCCACGCACCCAGTGGGTACGACGCGTGCCAGGCTCCAGGCTCGCACCCGGGCCCTCTGCCGGATCAGAGGCCAGGACCCGAGAAAGCAGGACGTTCTTAACGCGAAGCGAGAGCCCTTCCTCTGTCCCTGGGCAGCACGGAATCCCGCTACCTCGGGGCTCCTGCGCGCCCTCGCCGGCCGAGGTCAACCCGGGCCGCGAGCCCTTGGAGGGGCTCCTGGAGTGGGGAACGAACCGGCATCCCCTCGGATGGCCGCACCACCGTGGGCGGCCTCGCCCGGGGGGCCACACGGAAGCTCTCCGCCCAAGTTTGTTGTGCCCTGGAAGAAAAGGCTTTCTCTTACAAAGCACAAAGGCGAAACGCCCAGGCCGAGCCCTGAAAAGCTCCGGATTGGGGGGAGGGGGCGGCCGGAGGCAAGGGAGCACGGTGGCAGGGCCGGGCTCCGACTGGAGAAGGTCGCCGGGCTCAGTCAGACGAGCGCGGCGGCGGTGGCCGCAGGACCGACTGCAGCGACCCGCATGCTCGCTGAAAAGTTTTGTTCTCAAGTCGGAAGAAGAGAAATTGTTACTCAGTTGAAGGCAGGTCTTGGATAAAGATAAAACTTCAGAAAAAGGAATGAGTCCCAGTCTATTCGATCGTCCTCCCGCCTCACTCCGTAGAACTGCTGGGAGAGAGGGTCTGGACCCCGAAAGTCCCAGGAGATCCCATAGGTCGAGTTGCTCTAAGGCCAGGCCGGCTCAGGGCAGCGGAGCGGGGAGTTTACCGGCTGCATTTTGCACGGTCCACCTCAGTGCCAGCACCTGCCTCCTCCCAGCCCGTCGAGGACCCCCCCACACACACACACACACCCGCTTCCCCACTGCCCTCCCTCCACACCCTTCACACCCACCCTGGCTAGGAAAGAGTAAGCCGAGCACGGGATTGGGGGACAACCCCCCCAGCTTGTCCTCGGGTACCCCACCAGGCCGGCTGTGTGTTGCGTGGGGACAGTCGGGGCCGTTTCTCATTCGGATCATCCCTTCCTTATCCCACCCGCCACCTCGGCCTCCCCACTGAGTACCACCCAGACCCGGCCCCGCCGGAAATCACCGCGGGATACACAGGGGAGCCCGGCGAGAAGGCATTCTCGCGATCGACCCAAACAAAGTGGGAATGGGACTTATTAAAAGGTGGAGAAAATAAGTGCTACTCCTTTCCCTTTCTATCCCCTCACCCTCCCTCCTTGTCCAATTCCCGAGTCTGGTCCCTCCCCCTTGCACCCCCCAAATAAAACACATTAAGAAAAACTCAAGACGGAAAGTTTGAGTGAGGCAGCGCACGGAGCGCGCAGGGCACGGACGCCGCAGGCTCCGTTGCGATGATCTAAGCAGCACCAGTCCGGGTCCCAGCCCCTGCCCCTGCCGCTGTCCGGGGGGATGGAGGGGGGGGGCCTCACGAATCCCTAGGAAACCGACCCGGAAAGTTAGCCAGGTTCCTGAGCAACCCGGCCGCACTCGCACCCACCCCTCCTGCGTACGCACACACATCCACACCCCTTTCTGATCTCCATACTTGCCGTGGAAATTCCTTGGGAGAATGGTCGCACTTTTCAGGACACCGAGGGAAGAAGGCGGAGAGTGTGGTGCATGAAAAGTCCCGGGTGCGCAGAGCCGGCGGAGGCAGCGGCGGCGGCGGCGGCGGCAGCGGCAGCAGCAGCAGCAGGCGGCTGGCCCCGGGTGTGTGTTCGCGAGCTGCCTGGGATTGCATGTACAGATCAAGAGACTCGGTTGGTGTGAGAGAAGGAGCAGTGCTGCCTCTCAGCGCTGGCTCTAATCAGTGAATGAGCCTCCACTCTCCCAGGGACTCGGAGACACACACTCGCGCGCGCACACACACACACGCACGCACACATTCTCACACTCACACACATACAGGCACTCTGAGCACTGAATACATTAGGGCACTAAGGGACTCTGGGAAATGGAGTCCAGACCCAGGGCACTCCTGGAGAACAGACCTGCTGGCCCACACCAGAGAGCTCAAAAGTCTTGGGGTTGCAGGCAAGGCGGAAAGTAAAGAGAGGTTGCTTTTGTAAACACCCCTCTACCCCACCTACCTGGCAAAGAGCCCAGTGAATGGCTTGGTACTGTTCCTTTCTTGACCCAAAAGGGACCAGGAGTAACTAGAATACCCTCTGCTTCTAAATGACCCCCAAATCCTGACTCCCTCATAAACTCTGCCCTTTTCCAGAAAAAAAATGTTATCACTTGGTTCCTGTGATGCTGTTCTGGTTCTTTGCCTATAATAATAAAATAATAAAGGAATAAAACTATAACTTTTAGAGGGAGTGGACATGGCCTAGCTTATCAGATTTGGGAATCATTTTTTTCCTTGATGTTTTATTGATGTTTCTTTCACCGTTCTTTCTTTTCAAATCGTGTTATATCATCCATTAATAATAGCAGAAGATAAATAGGGCAGATGGACAGAAAACTAACATTCCTGAGTGCTGTCCACAAACCCAGTTATGGACTAAATGCCTTTTATAACCTCATTTAATCCTTAGATTCATTCTGGAGATAATATTATCACTAGTTTTTGGAAGAAGAAACTGAGATCGAAGGGTTTTGTAATGTACTAGTGAGATCATGGTTAGCAGGTCTAGGGTAGCAGGTAGTCCTAGCCCTGAAAGCAAAGCCCAACCAAAATCTAATCCTGGTTTAAGAAACCATTCCTTTGTTTTATGGCTCAGTTTGTAACATCTCATATTTCTCATCTGGAAAAATAATGGAGGAAGAGGGAGTACACATTGATAATCCACCCTGCAAAGAACCACCTAGGATTACAAATTGTCTAAATGAGATGCAAGGTCTCATTCTTGCTATTATTTCTTGGTCTTTTTTTCTTATGTTTAACATTAAGGGTAACACCTAAATATTATTTATGGTAGGTATGTGTATGTTGTTTGTATTGAAAAAAATTTTAATTACTAATTCTTTATATAAATAGCCAATATGATCACCTAGAGTTCTATGTTTATGCTTATTTCTGACTCTATAATTCATGAGATTAGGGTTGTGTGTTTAGGAACCTCTAAGACTTTATCCATGTCTAGTCATTCACTCATACACCAGCATTTATGATGTTAGGTGCTATTCTTTCTACTAGATTGTTTTCTCGTTGGAATGATTGTAAACTTCATGAGGGCAAAACCATGTTTGTTTTATTCAACATTATACCTTTGGCATTATACCCTACTATGTCTTAACTGAATGACATGTAATCTACTTTTTAACTGGTTTCTCTGCTTCTTGTCTAACCTCCCCCCTGCCCATCCAGCAACTAGTGTTTGTTTTAAAATAGAAATCCTACCACGTTACAGTGTTCATCTCTTAGTTGAATGAATAAATGAAGATATAAAAATGAACAAAATTCCTATCCCCAAAGAGCTCACTGTCTAGTAGAGGAGACAGAGTTAGAAATGAATTTCAATGACTACTATAATTAAGGTGACCGTATCATTGATCTGTCTGAGATAAGTTTGATCTCAGAAAAGGGGCACTAGTAATAATTATACTGGATGACAGGTATGAACAGGGCCATCCTGGGCCCAACAGGTAAATGGTCACTCCAATTACGAAAAGTGTTTCATTCATTCATTTAACAAGAAACTATTGAGAAGCTCCTGTGTGGTATGTTGGAAGAAACATAAGCCATTTGATTTCCCTAGAAATTGAAGTAGGAGGCATTGAGCATAAAGGATAAGTAGGAGAAGTGGGTCAGATCACAAAAGGGTTTGTAGAGTAAGCACAGGAAAGTGGGCTTTATCCTGTAGATGATGAGAAACCCTTAGAGAGGTTTTTAGGGGATGTGACACGGCAGAATTTCTGTTTTAAAACAAGCATTTGTTGCTACATGGGCAGGGTGGAGATTAGAGAAAAGGCAGAGACCAATTAAAAAGTTGACTATGGGCCGGCAGGTGGAGTGATGGTTGAGGTGCTGGACTCCCACTTGGCCAACCACAATTCAAGTCCTGGACCTAGTGGCTTGCTTTGCTTTCTCACTTTCCCTTTCTCTCACCCTCTGTCTCTCTCTGACCAAAAAAGAAATTTTTTTGAGAGTTTTTTTTGCTATAGGGTGCGTGCGCTTGCCAGACAGACAGAGAGACAGAGAGACAGAAAGTGAGAAATCACCCCCCAGGGGGGATGGCCATGCCGCAATCCCTTCTCCTCCATTCTCCTCTCGGGATCTTGGGCACGCACGCACACGCACCCGGCATGAGTTTAAGCCACCAGGTCCAGGACGCAAACCATGGTCAACTACGTGGGAGTCCAGTGACATGGCCATTACACTAACTGCTGGTCCCTCTCTGGCCAAAATTTAAAAAAGAATAATAAATAAATAATTCTTTTTTTAAAAAAAGTTGATTACATGTCATTCAGTTGAGACACAGTAGAGCCTGAACTAAGTACTATAGGAGTAGGGATGGAGAGTAGGGGACATGTTACAGTAAGATCTAAAAGGTAGAATCAACAGAAGTTGGCCACTTTACTATGGTAGATGAAGACAGAAGGAAGACCCTATATAAATCCTAAATAATATTTAAAAAATTTATTGCACAAGATATCAGTACTTTCATGTTCATCAATTGTAAAAGGCTTCCTCAGCTCAACTTGTAGAATTCCCATAAATCCAGCGCACATGCTTACAGGTAGGTGGTATGATAAGGAATGCTCTGTTAATCATCAAACCAAACATTTTTAATTGCTACCATATGTAATGGTCCTCGTTATGATGCAGGTACTTAGAAACTGGAAGAAAGAATCACTGTCTACAAAGACGATCTAAATGAAAATATTAAATGCAAAAGAAACCACAAAACCATAGCACAAGTATACAATACAAAATCAAATATGTAGTACCTCACTAATTCACAGGTCATGTGTTCAGCAAAGTCAGCTATCCAAAACACAATGAAGCAGGAAATAAGCAAAAAGGGTCCCAGAATAGCCAAAATAAACATTACAAAGTCCATGCACTAAAGTTAACACATTTCACTCCTAGGAGAATTCCGTAAGCCTTCACTCAGAGCTGATTTACTCTTTCTTAGGTACAATTCTAATAAGCTTGATTATTTGGCTTTCCCATTCACAGCTGATTAAGATTGTCAAATTAAAAGGGGGCAGCCATTAAAAAGAATGAGATAGACTTGAATGTACTGACATGGAAGGATGCCTGTTATATATTGTCAAGTGGGAAGAAAGGCCAGTCATATAAAAGAAGCATAATGTGATTTGCTATTTGTATATATACATAAGTATACACATACATTGATAGAAAAAGGCTGGTCAGGGATACGCATTAAACTGTTAACAATGGCCATGCCTATGAATGGATATGGGGGTCCTTGGGGAGGCGACAGGAATGAGGGGAGGACTTTGACTTTTTACTTCCTACCCTTTTGTTGGTTTTCAAAGAATATATATTAGTTTTCTAATTTTAATATCCATTTAAAGGCGTATAAAAGGAACAAAGGGTAGAACTGCCAGAGCAAGCTCTCTAACAGTGAGCAGCAGTAGCTGAACTGTAAGAGGCAAGCAAGAACTCAAAAACC